TATATATATATATATATAAAGAAAATGATTCGTTCATTCTTTATATTGTCTTTTTTTTTGTCCCACATTTTTGTTACTCTACATTGTAGTTTTTCTTCTCAATAGAAGCAAACACAGTAGAATACCAAATTGTGCTAAATGTAGGGGTATACAAAAATGTGTGCATGTTACCAAAGCCAGTATCTGATTTTGTTTTCTCCAATATAGTACTAAAGCACTTGACATCCAAGAAAGATAGTGTTTTATTTATTTACTGTTGTGTTCCTTTGTCGTGGGAATCCTTTTCAAGAAAGACTGTTTGTTGTGGTGTCCAGGGGCCACATGTACAAAGACTTGCGTGGCTGTCATACTCAAACACGGCATATGGTCAAATCCAGAAAATGTTGCATACAAAAAAATTCCATCTTCAAGAATCTCTGTGTACACATGTAGACAAGCACGTTACTTTCGTACATCTCAGTCTGCGAAAATGTTGCCCTACCAGTCTCCTCCCTCTCAACCCAGTTTATATAAATATGCAAATGAGTATAATTAGTGCCTACTGGTGGGAATAATCACTCTGCGTTATCAAATTATGAAGACATGATTCACCAATGAAATGGTGGAATTTAACAAAAAGTGAGCTGGAGATGCTAGTAAATAAAGTCGAGGCCCGAAAAACCGTAATCTTGTGCACACTGTCCTCTCACAGGGTGCCACTCAACGAAGGTGCCCTGGACTTTTTGCCCTGTGGGTTCGCGCTCTTTGCTCCCAAATCTGAGATGATGATGTGGCCGTGTGGATTCCACCTCCGAGTTGGCTACACACCGCAATAATAAAATCGGTCCCTCCCCCAACCCTCAACAAAAAAAAATGTTTTCAAGAGCGTCAAAACTGGTCATTCACCCTGGGCGTCTTGTGCACTTTGCATGCCACTGCACCCGCCTCTGCCCAACACAGCATCATCTCTACATTTTTCCAATGGCTCCTAAGCAAGAAAAATAGGTTTACACCAGCCAAGTAGTTGCCGTGGAGCAACTGTACATTACCACGGTCATGTCACTCTTGATACATCTGAACATGAGCGTGGAAAACTTCGTACGCCGCGTTTTTGTGCGTACACAGCTTTTGTACATGAGGCCCCTCATTCTCCGTTTTGTGTGTGTGTGTGTGTGTGTGTGTGTGTGTGTGTGTGTGTGTGTGTGTGTGTGTGTGTGTGTGTGTGTGTGTGTGTGTGTGTGTGTGTGTGTAAACATGCTGATGTGCACGCCAGTCTCAGTAGTCATGATGGTTACCCCTCCTTGGCTGTTTTCGTGGCACTTCTTTGTCCAGCTCTAACGACACCGCTGTCCTGGCTCAACATGGCGCTTTTAGCAAACTGACGACTGAGAGAAAACAATGCACTTACAAGCACATCTGTTCTATCTTGTCCCCCTTCAAACAGAATACGTCAGGGATGGAGTCACAGAATCTAGTGGATGACCTTTCGCCAAAGAAGAACACAGTCCTCAAGGTATCTTTCTGTGCTTGTCAGTTGCTGTGATCCATGTGTATTGGGTGCTCATACTCACCTCTCTCGCAGTCACAAAGTTGTCTTGCTCTTTTTCAAACTTGCAGTATCTGTCCATTTCATATGAACAGAATGACTCCTGTGGTTGAGTAAAAAATAATTTGAATAAATATATGGAAAAAAATGATGTCCAGAAAAATAATTGATTTGAACAAAGCACCATTATACTGTTAAATATGATTAAAAAAAATTATTTAGTGTCAAAGAAAACAAGGCTGGAACATGCCATTGGGCTGCAAAAAGCACTTTGGTAAGGTGACATGCATATTTTCTATCTGAGAAACACTAGCCTAATAGAAATATAACAACAATAGGAGGGTATGCCATAAAAACCTGGGATTTTTTTTTTTTTTTTTAGGCGAGAGTTGCTATCTCAGAGTAAATATCGAAGTGAGTTTCATCGATGAGGGCCAGCGCAGCGGAAACCACAGCTGTTGTGCGAAGCACGTTGAGTTGCCCCGTGTTGCTTTAACGCCTTGCCGTTTCTTGCCTTGCTTATAAGAACAATAAACAAATCTGCGATCCAGCGAAGGAGCAAAAAATGGTCCATGAAACAGTGAGGGACAACTGGACTGGACACTAAGAGGCAGCATGGTACCACAGGGCATCCAGGCCACCGAAAGAATACAAAGAATAGTCATATTAGCAGATGGTATGCCACCTGCCGGTCATAAGCCGACTTGGTAACTACCTTGCTTTAGCAATTTTGTGGCGTAACGGCTTGTCATATCTATTACGGTAAATGACTTGGGAGACACATTATGCAAACAGTCATTCCAAAACCACTTGATCCTCGATGTATGAAGTTCGGTAACAGAGCAAGCTTCAGTTGGCTTCTTGTTTGACTGTTCTAGTCCACGAGATGGAAATATTGAACATAGTTAACAGTTATGATTGTCGGCCTTGGCCATTTTCTATGTAGATAGGGGAGAGGGAAAAAAATCACACTCAACATGCCCCACACCACAGAATAATCAAGGTTAGGTTAGGATAACATTTCGAGCAATCCAATGATCTGGCCTTTACAGATGTTGGGTCGGGCGTGAATGACTTCAGAATTTCCAATGTACAAAGTGATTGAATATTTAATAGTGTGATCGTATGGCGTACGCTATTCTGAAACAGTATTGTTGGTCATTCAAGTGTCTTCTTCTCGTTACAGCTTAATAACGGTCCTGTTGTGGGGTCCCGCAAGCGTCCGTCAGAGGGGAACTACGAGAAAGAGAAGGAACATTGCATCGCCCTGTTCGACCAGTGGTCAGAGGCTGACCAGGTGGAGTTTGTAGAGCGTCTGATCTCTCGAATGTGCCACTACCAGCATGGCCACATTAACTCCTACCTCAAACCCATGCTACAGAGAGACTTCATTACAGCGTTGCCAGGTAGGAGAACCAACAACAACTGCCACGTACACTGGGTAAAGTGTATATGTGAGTTACTGATTGGTTATTGAACAAAAAAGCTGCTTTTGAGTTGTCTTTTCCCGTTTTGCCTTCCGAGGATACAATGATCATTATCCATCTGTTATCTGAACTCCCATCAATCCATCTATTTTGTGTACAACATGTCCTCATTATGCCTGTCCTCATTATGGCCGTAGGTCAGCTGGAACCTGCCGTAGGTCACATTGGGTCCACCCATGACTGTTCAGAACTTCTTTAAAGAAAAGAATACGTGCATTGAAATCAGTACAAACAAAATGAATGGACAGCGCAAGAAGGAAGTGTTGATAAGAGAGGGAAGATCACAACACTAGTTGGCAACATTTCTGAGATTTTATGTCGTGAAACTGTGTTTGATAGTTAATTTTCCATATGTTGGTTTGGTATTTCTATTCATTCCAACGCTTGGTAACTGGTTTGTTTCATGTCGCAGATATTCTAACAACCTCAAGTTTACAAACTTCTTTGCGCTGTGCACAGATTTTGTTAGTTTCTTCGACATGTTTGTCTTTTGATTTGCATGCTTGTTATGAAGAGATGTTTATAGCAATTGTTCCCAAAATACTTTCCACATTTTGTTGAAATAAGTCTTCATTTAATCTATATATTGATCGGTGTGTTTATTTCATGGTTGTGTTGACCTCGTCTTTCAGGTTAAATTATAAAATGAACCAAATTCAACCTTTTTTTCTGGGTCCTTGTTGAACAGTTAAATAAAAACAAAATGGTAGCAGAGGAAGCACAAAAAAATCAAATAAAAATAATTCCTACCATCAACTGATACGAAATACTTGTGATCCATTTTGCAGCCATATCGCTCAACCCTAGTTGCAAGTTGAAATAATGCAACTCTCTTTCTCTCTCTTCTGCAGCCCAAGGCTTAGATCACATAGCAGAAAACATCTTGTCTTTCCTGGATGCACGTTCACTTTGTGCAGCAGAGCTGGTGTGTAAGGAGTGGCAAAGGGTCATCTCTGAGGGTATGCTGTGGAAGAAGCTCATAGAGCGCATGGTCCGCACTGACCCACTATGGAAAGGACTGTCCGAAAGACATCAGTGGTGAGAATGGGGCCCCTTTGTTCTACAGTATAGCCTACTTGACCGTATGTACTTAAAGTAAACGAGCTTGTTTGTCCTACAGCATTTGGTATTCACAGTAATTTAACGGTAGACGATATTACTGTTGTATTATTATTCGGACATCATAAAACAACAATTACAAAACGAATCCTTCTTTTCCCTCATAGGGAGAAATATCTGTTCAAAAATCGCACATCCGAAGTCCCACCCAACTCTTATTATCGCTCCCTTTATCCCAAAATCATCCAAGACATAGAGGTAAGTGAATTCAAAAGCAAAGGATGAAATATACAAAGGCCAATGTTTGTACACCATATTGGATACAATTTCCTCCCATAGCAGAGTTTTTCTTTTGCCAATTAGCCTATTTTTAGTTACCAAGGTACCACATGTCCTGTTTTTCAGGGCGTTGTTTTGTTCTCAATGTAGCACATTACTTTGTCATTATACGTGTTCGAACCTAAAGAGCTCTTTTGTCATTTTTGCTGTTTTTTTTTCTACTTTTAGCTTTGTGAACTGTCTTTCTCATTGCCTTCTTTTTTTTTCTCCAGACAATTGAGGCTAACTGGCGGTGTGGCAGACATAATTTGCAAAGGATTCAGTGCCGCTCAGAAAATAGTAAAGGGGTTTATTGTCTCCAGTACGATGACGACAAGATCATCAGTGGCCTTAGGGACAATTCTATCAAGGTTTGTGTATATGCTGATATGAAGTCGTTAGGATTTTCATTTGCCACTGCTCTGCTGTTAATTCTGCTGGTTTAGATTTAGGCCATAATGTTTTGATGTACAAAGTTGCGTTCCTTGGTTATGTGACTGTTGCCTCAATCATTCATTTGGAAAAAAAAAAGCACAGCAACGTATTCCAAGACCCGTCATTAGAAACCTACATTACATTATAGAGAACTATTTTTTGTCTTTCGAAGGCTACTTTGACACTGTCAAGCGTGATGCCCAATTCGTATTTTTTGTTCAATCTGGTATTTTTATGTACTTGTTTACATTATAGGAACAAATGGGACTTCAAATGTGCACGTAACCCATCCGTAATGTGACACGAACACGCATAAAGCACGATGTCGAGTGACGTGCATCAAAAAAATAATGGCATGTGCTACAGCGTTTGCGGATGTGAATGTGGTCCAGTGTAAATAATACACTTGCACAAACTGATTGACATCACACACGGGCAAACAAATGTGTGCGCTACCAAATAACGTCACACAGCGGCAAACAAATATGTGCACTAGCAAATATTGTCATAATTTTTTTTGTGTGGGGGGGGTGGGATATTTACCCACAATAACAAATTGTTGTGGCAAAATAGACTACACAGGCTACGAGTAGATGCACGGGGAGAGAAATAGAAACACTCTTTCACTATTCACAGGGGCAAATTGGCAAATTTCAGATGCAGATGACCAAACACAAATGAATTAAACCTCACAACACAAAGATTCCACCAGATGGCCCCAAAGTATTCTTTTTTTTTTTTTTAATGCTTTGGCCTGAGCACAAAAACAGCGGATAGACAAGACTTTCAGAGAATGATGGAGGTTCCCCGAAATAAATATGCGAATTCCGAGCTGCGGGGTTTCACTGCACTGCCAGTTACACTACTTAAAAGACACATGGTAAACCACTTTATCTATTTTATTGCACTTGTTTCAGAACGAGAACTTTTTTTAAAAGGATATGCCTTTTTGACAGAATCCAGTCCCACACCGGTACATTGGGCTATAAAATATTCTAATACGTTCAACAGCTTGCCTCTATTTTAAATTATGGCAACGCAATGTATATTTATGTGGTTATTTTATGCTATACCTGCATTTTTAAGGAAGTAACCTTGAATCTTACTCAGTCTTGCATAATCATCATCTTCTTACCTTTGGCCTAACCTGCAGACAGAGAGAAAGCAAACAAGTGAATTATAGGCTAAAGGGCTCAACTGACTGGCCTGTGAGGAGAGGAATAGAAGTTGATGAAGAGCAGGACAGCAATAGTGGGGGAGAAGTGGATTTGTCATCTTATTGTTCTACGGGAGGCTGGCGCGCACCCAGGGGCGCCCTGAATTATTCTCCAGGCGCAGACGTTGTGCTCGCCTCAGCAGCGGGGAAATGGGGCGTGAACAGAACACGGGCATCACAATGACGGCAAACGCTCTTTTCTTGCATGACCTAAATCTGCGCTCATTCAATCACAAATTAAATTCTGCTTCTTGTATGTCCCTTGTGTATTATTTGTACCTGCAGATATGGGATAAACAGTCACTGGAGTGTCTGAAGATTCTGACTGGTCACACAGGTTCAGTGTTATGCCTCCAGTATGATGAGAGGGTCATCGTCACTGGGTCATCTGACTCAACTGTAAGGTATGAAATTTGTTGCGTTAAAATCCATCCACCCATCCGTCATTTGAACCGGTTTATCCTCACGGCAATTATCCAATTACCATGACAATTTGATACAGTGGATCAAAAAACAGATTTGCTTCAGCAGTTGAAACCAGCCATCTGACTGTCAATACCATTGGACTTTTCCAAAACTATTGTGAAATCTGTTCAAACCAAGTTACAGCAGATAGTTAACTGCTCACCTCAGTCAGGCGAGCTTCCCGAACCCCTGAAAGTAGCAGCCATCAAGCCCCTGCAAAAAAAGGGAAAGCTGGATGTCTCCGTGTTAGCAAATCTTAGACGCATCCCAAACCTTCCCCTCTGAATCAAGATTGTTCAGAAGATAGTTTTTAATCAACTCAACTTTAATCAAATTCTTGAACTCAAATTGCCTTTTTTTTTTTCGATTCCAATCAGGTTTCCAATCATATCACAGTACCTGAACAGACCTTATTAGTACTAATTGCCATGAAGGAGGAAAAAGGAGTTACTTTGTCTCTTCACACTGTAGGTCATTCCACATTTTCTTTAGAAAATGCATGTCAGTTAATATAGTTCGGCGCTACAGACATCAAATTCAAAGTCAAAGAATATTTGCAAAAGAATAATAACGTTCATCGGGTTAAACATGAAATATCTTGTCTTTGTAGTGTGTTTGGTTGAACATAGCTTGTAAAGGGTTTTCACGTTGTTATCTCCTGTTTTTATGTACGGTACATTTGACACATCCCAACTACCTTGGAATTGTTTTTGTTCAACCCTGCAAATAAAAATGAACAATTGTCACTGGGCAAACTTAAGTGCACTTGCTACTGTGCATCGGAGGAAGTGGGCTTGTGTTTAGTCTGCAGTGGCGGTACTGGGGAGGCATAGACATAGAAAAGTGAGGACCCAGTCGTTTTCTTGGATTGGGAGGGGCTGGTATTTAGAATGGGAGAATGAGCGGGTATGCTCCGAGATGGGTGAATGGAGGGCGAGGGATGAGCTTCTTAACATAGCTGAAATCTCAAAAATCTTGATTTTGCATGAAACGAGTCCTTTAGTGTTTGTTCTCAATGTATGTTACTTACGTAATGTTTGTTTGGTACTTTTGTTTTCTTTTCGTTGCTTCTGAATATCATAAACTGTTGTGTTTGTACATCCTTGGAGGTGTTGTTTCTTTGCTTGTGTGAAGCACATTTAGTTACCTTGTATGAAATGTGCTATATGAAAAAACTGGCGTGACTTGCTTTTTCCTCTTCTGGCTTCCCACCTGTTCTGTGTTCCCTGCGTTGTGGCAAGGAAAAAAGGGACTTTTTGTCCTCAGTTCTAAACATGTAGCAATGTTTTGCGTGTTTCAGTACACAGTGTGAGACATTACCTCATGTGTGTATGTTTTCCGCTGTTAAAGCTTCCTCCCTCCTGTCATCTCCATCTCTTCTCCCTTCTGTTGGCTTCTGTTTCACTATGGCCCCCCGTTGCTCCGCAGGGTGTGGGAGGTAACGACGGGTGAGGTACTGAACACGCTGATCCACCACAACGAGGCCGTGCTTCATTTACGCTTCGCCAATGGCCTCATGGTCACGTGTTCCAAGGACCGCTCGATCGCTGTGTGGGACATGGCCTCGCCAACCGACATTAGCTTACGGCGCGTCCTCGTGGGACACCGGGCGGCTGTCAACGTGGTCGACTTTGACGACAAATATATTGTGTCAGCCTCAGGGGACCGTACCATCAAGGTAATAATGAATGAGAATATGGATTTTCCATTTGCAGTATTTTTGCCTCGGGGGTGGGGTTCATCAAATATTATTTACCTAATAACATCGGTGCAGACAATCTTTTTATCTTTAAATTCTTCTGTCAAAGTTCGCTTGATGTGACTCTTTCATTAAAAGTCAAGCCAGACATACACTTGCAACATCTTTGTAATTGCTTGACTGAAAGTGTCATCCATGTGAATCGTTTTTTTACTGTTGATCTCTTGATATATGCAGGTATGGAGCACCAGCACCTGTGAATTTGTCCGCACTCTGAACGGCCACAAGCGGGGCATTGCTTGTCTACAGTACCGGGATCGACTGGTTGTCAGCGGCTCATCTGACAACACAATTAGGTATATTTGATACCGCTAGACAAAACCGGTCTATTTCCTCCATAAAGGCTTAAGTGCTGTTATAAGATAAGAAAACCTTTATTTGTCTCACAATGGAGAAATTCCCAATGATGATGAAATTGTATGATGACTTTCCCTCCACATCCTGTTAACAATGTGACTTGCACTTGAACAGAGTTGATGGAAAGAACTGTGCAACACACATACAAAAATATAATCCAGCTGGCTCATTACCATAAAAAAGTAAGAGAATTTTTTGTGATAAACAGGCATGGACGGGGAATGCATCATCATTTCATGATTCCATTTGATAAAGAAAGATACACTTCAATGACCAATTTGATGCATCTTGAATTGATGCATGTATTCATTTTTTTTCAAAAAATGTATGAATCCTATTTTAAAACGGTAATTGTAATGACCCATAGTTCCATGATTAACCACTTGAATTATCTTTTATTCAAATGAAATAGAAAACACCGTCAATGGCATGCTCGTACATTTTTGCATCGTGTAAAGCAGTGGTCCCCAACCGCCGGTCAGCGGACCGGTACCGGTCCGCCGGGCATTTGGTACCGGGCCGCACAGAAAGAACTTGCCTTAATTCCGTTTTATTTATTTCGGAATACGAAAGATGTTTTATTTTGAAAACTTACCGGATTCTCCGTTACATCCGTCTGTGTCCAGCTTGACACACGTCAAGCCACGCTTCTCCGTAACGCGACCAATTAGGCTAAAAACAAACACCGGAGCTCGCAAAATGAGTAAAAAAACTGCT